CTTGTGCTGCGGCCTCCAGCTCTGGCCAGCCCGGGTGCTTCCGGGGGACCCCAAGAGGGGTGGGGAGGACGCGTCAGGAATGCTGGAAGGGGTGTCCTGATGGTGTCACCGGGGGTGGGGCTGGCACCTGGCTCCCTGCGCTGAAGCCCCCCAGCCTTGCCCACCCCGGGGGGCTCTGGGGCCCAGAGTCCGTGGCTGGAGCTGATTCCCAGCCTCGAGCGCCGGGCTCCTCGGGCACCCCAAGGTTGAGAGTCAGGGGCACCCGCATCTGGGGAGGCAAGGAACCCGCACTGGCCGCCCCCCTCCCTGCGAAGGACCCTCTCCGGCTGCGTGCGGGGTGTCCCCCAGGGGTACAGTCGCTCTGTAGACGTGGCCCTGTGGACACCACTTCTGACCCCCAAGAGCGCCCCGGCCCCGGCCTGCAGGAAGGCTTCTCCTGCATCTTGGCTTCCGACCTGCCTTCCCATCCAACTGGAGGGGAGTCCAGGTCTCGCCCAGGCGGGGAGCCTCGGGACGTAGCCTCTGCGTACTTAGTCTCCCCCCAAAGTTCCTCTGAGGACACCCCTTCCTTTGCCTCCCTCTCCAAAGGACGAGTGGGGCGAGGGGCTCCATGGAGGAAGCAGCGGGCCCCCCGAAACCCCCACCCACCTAGCCATGCTCAAGGCACCCGCCCGGGCCCTGGGCGGGTCCCCTCTCCACGCAGCCCGGGAGTGGGCGCAGCCGGCAGCCGCCTGGGTCCCCGGCGCCCTGCGGTCCCCACCACGGGACACTTGACTTCAGTTAGCACCCAGGGCGCTGACTGCCAGGCGGGCCCCCGGCCCCACGCGCGCACCTGACTCCTGCGAACACCCGGTGCGGTGGCCACAGACGGGTGGCCCAGGCGTAGGGGCAGGTGGTCAGCTGCCCTGTGCGCCCCGGGCCCCTGCGTTGGCTGCCCCACCAGAGGGGGTGCCGCTGACCAGCTGGGGGACCCACGTGGACTCCTGGTGACAGTCCATCCCTCCACCCAGGCTCCCGATCGGGCCTGCGCTCTTCCTGGGGTGTCTGCGGAGTCCCCACCCTGCCGGCCGGGCTCTGCCCCTCACCCCGTCTGGCGCTCTCCTCCTCTCAGGCCCGAGGTGTCACTCACGAGGATGCTGCACGTGAAAGGGGGCGCTGGTCACCCCATTTGGGACCGTGGGTCCCCCTGACCCCGGTCTGTTGCCTTCCCCAAATAGAGGTTGGGCCAGAAGCACCCCAGCACGGGAGCCAGGCAGGGGTGGAGTGTAAACTCTGGAAGGGGTGGCCCAGGCGAACCTCCGGGCCCACGCTCCTCCCCTGGCCGGCCGGGCCTGGCCTCCGGCAAGGCCCACAGCCTAACCCAGCGCGGCGTGGCCAGCCTGCCTGCGGCCCGCCCTGCCCTGTGACGAGCCCGAGCGCAGAGCCTGCTCCTTCTGGTTTGCGTTTATTCAATACAGGCCCAGGGCCCAGCCCTCCCCGGGGAAGCGGCTGAGCCGGGGGAATAAAATAAATAAAGGCCGCCGAGGTGTGAGTGTGGACGGGTGGGGCCTGCCCGGGCCGAGGCCGGGGTGCACACGAGACACTGGGCCCAGCCTCGGCCGTGCACCCCCGGCCGCCCGCTCCCCGATGCTCCAGGTGGGGCCAGCCGCGGGGCCGTGAGCAACAGGTCCTGGGCTCCCGCCACCTCCAGCCCTCCTCCTCCCTGCCCTCCGCCTCCTTCCTAAGGCAGGCCTAGAGACCAGCTCTCCACCGCGCCTGAGGTGGGCAGGGAGGTGAGGGGCCAGTGTCCAGATCCCAGGCCGCGGCCCGGTGCCCTTCGGGGCGGGAGCAGGGGCGCTGCTAGGACAGAGGAGCAGGAGGCGGCGCCCCGAGCCAGCAGGCCTTCTTTATGCGGCCCGTCGCCGACCCCGGGTCTGCACCCCTCGGCACTCAGGAGTCGCACCAGCTTCCCCCCTTGTCCAGGGGCCCGGCGGCCCCCTGCGCCTCTCTGCCCGGCTGCCCCGCGGCCGCGTCCTCCTCGTCCTCGTCGTCCTCCCCGTCGGTGAGCTCCTCCTGGCCGAGGCCGTAGGCCAGGGTGGTGTGGGCCAGGTCCACCTCGATGGGGAAGACGTCGGCGTCACGCAGCACCGCGTAGCAGTCGTTGTAGTACTTGGACATGGTGGACACGAAGCGCTGCAGCTGGAACACGATGTCCTGCACTGGGGTGGGAGGCGGGGACCGTGGGCCGCGGAGCGGGGGCTCCGAGCGGCCTGGGCCTCGCCCGCCCTGGGAGGCAGGGCCAGGGCGGCGACCCTGCTCCGTGGGGCGGGGGAGAGCTG